CCTCCCTCCCACTCTTTCTGAAAAGCAATGGAAAAAATATCCTTGGGTGAGGATTAACAAACAAACAAAAACAGATTTAAAAAAAATTTAACTATTGTTATTAGCATTTATTTTAACTGAAACACTTATTGAGCACCTACCATGTGCCACATAGTGGGAGGGACACAGGATGAATAAAGCTTTATCCTTAATTTCAAAACGCTTCTGGGAAGTAGATATATCATCTTTTTCATTCCTTCCCCAGTCTTGGTTGATAAACTGCTCTGTGCTGAATGTCCCTCTTTAAATAGGGATCGCCTGGATTCTAGGACATGAGGGGATTTGGGAGATCTGGGTTTTTGGGAGGCTGACTCCAATACCTCTCTCTAGCTATATTCACCTCCCCTGTGTTGTCATTCTTGGTTCCCATGTCCTTGTCAGGGATTCCCAGAGCACTAACCACAATCCATCATTGTTTTTTATGTATATATTCATAACCTGGGTTAGGGTGCCCTCTGCCTCTTAGAAGGGGTCTGATGCAGAGGGCTGGGGCTGACAACACCCAGTCAGCAAGCCCCCAGGCTGAGGAAGTTGGGTGACAGCCATACTAATATCCAAATGCATAAGGCTTTACAAATACACCAGGTTTTGGAGGTTGCAAAGCATTTTAGGATTCATTTCATTTAATCTGCATGGAAGGAGGTATCTCCAGTAATGCTTTACACATGAGGAAACTGAATGGGGAGAGGTGAGTTCCAAACCACAACTAGAACCCCAGCCCATCTAGGTTCTCAAAGTAGTCTGAAAAGAATCACAGGGGTGCTTGTTAAATAAGAGGAAAAAGCCCTCTTTTCAGGTTCTAGTTCTGAAGGTCTGGTCTGGGACTCAGGAATCAATAGGTTTAACAAACATTCCTGGTGATACTTATCTTTGGGCAAGTCCGGACATAGTGCCATTCATTGATTTATTTACTTAGCTAAGATTTATTGGGTCCCAGCTATGATCTGAACTGCGGGGAGAGCACGATGAACGTGACAGTCCCCAGCCTTAAGGAACTAACAGTCAGCTGGCTGAGCAGATTGTCCAGGTCCCATGGTCTGCACAGGTCTGCAGTCTAGGTCCCTCCTAGGCAAGGTCCCTTCCTGCTGGGTGGGACTGGCTTCCGGCCCAACACAGGGTTGGAGCCTGCTGGGCCTCCTTCCACTGTCTAACACTTGCTCAGGGCTGAGCCTGTGGTTCTTTGGAGCTGGAGGCATCCTGTGAAAGAAACCAAGGTGTGCATGGCACATAGTGTTTCAGTAAATGCTAACCAACTGCTAATGTGCTTCCTGGCTAGAAAAGGACATGGGGGAGGGGGACCCTTTGGTGTGGAGGAAAGCAGTTCAGGTCTGATAGGGGCAGGGATTTACATTTCTTTAAAGGTAATTCCAGCACAGATCTGACTTTGCTCCTAGAAGAGAGGCCAGGCAAGGGTCCCTCTTGAGCTGATGAGGAAAGCAGAGCCCAGAGAACCAGAAGTGAGAGGTCCTGAGCAGGCAGGGATATCACCGGCAACACCTTTTTCCTGAAATCACTGATGTGTGCCTGTGAAGGAAAGAGGCTGATGCCACCACAGGCGCTCCACTTGTGGGGGCCAGGATCACCTATTAGCTATGCTCTGGGTTCCAGCTTCAGCTGAACACTTCCTTTTTTTGATGGAGAAGGCTAGCCTTCATCCTGGTCCCTCCCTCCCTGTGTCTTTCCCAGGAGAGCATTTACATATTTGAAGTAGAACCCGGTGGGCCTTGGTCTAGAGCTTACCTTCTCTGTTCCAGAAACTCTGAGTACCCAAGTAGTTTCCTGGAGGCTAGACCTCCAGATGGGCCTGACAGATAAGGCCAGGGGTGCTCCCAGAGGCTATGTGGACAGTGTGGGGAAGGCTGCACAGCCAGGCTAGGCTGAAACATCACAGGCTAGTGTGGGTCCACAACTTCCCTGGTAGACACCAGGATCCACCGCCATTCCCTACCTGCTCCTTGTAGAGCCAGACATACATTTGGAGGCTGGAGGGACAGGAAAGGCAGGGATTCCAGGTGAGTTAGAGTAGGGAAGCCACAATTTTGACCTGGGAGTTTGCAGGCGACAAACTTAGAAATAAGACCTAGGGCCCGGCCAGGCGTGGCTCAGCGGTTAAGCGTCAACCTAGGATCCAGGCGATCAGGGTTCGATTCCCGGTCAGGGCACATGCCCCAGTTGCGGGCTGCAGCTAATCAATGACTCTCTCATCATTGATGTTTCTCTCTCTCTCTCCCTTTCATTTCCTCTCTCTGGAATCAATAAAGATATATTTAAAAAAAAAGAAAAGAAAGAAAAGAAATAAGACCTAGAGTGCCAGGGTGTCCAGACCTGGCAAATGGACCTTTAGGCTCCTCCAGGAGCTTTGTGGGTCTCCTCCCCACCAGGCTCAGGCCCTGCCCTCCCGAGTAGGGGGTCTCTTTGGGGGACACCCCCCAGGGTATGTGTGTGTGGGGGGCGTGTGTAAGATCTTAAAGCTTTCCGCAAGGAGGTAGGGCGGGGCTGGGCGGCCACGAAGACCCAGGATATAAGGGCGGAGGCGCCTCTTTCAGGCCCGGCCAGCCCACCATGCACGCCCACCGGCTCCCCTTCCTCCTCCTGCACGTCTGGTGGGCCCTGCTCCAGGCGGGCGCCGCCACCGTAGCCTCTGTGCCCCTGCGCACCAGGGGGCAGCCCTCGTCGCCGTCCCCTCTCGCGTATATGCTGAGCCTCTAC